ATTCTTGTTAACACAAGAATAAGCAAAGAGGGGCAGCTGTAAACACTAATTTTTTTTTATTTTTGTTTTTAATATTATTATTAATATTATATATATTATTATATATATTATTATTATTAAAAAATAATTACAACCCCAGATCCTGGGAGCCCAAATACAAATCCCAGGCCCAACCAGAACTGGCACAGACCTAAAAGGAAACCCTGAACTGATTTGGAGTTTCAGCTAGGGTTTCTAAACCCTAACACTCCAGCCGCCTCTGATAATTCCAGAAGGCCAGCCGCCGCCTCTGCCAGGTGGTCCAACGTCCAGCTACCGACACTCCAGTACCACGCGGTTGTCGTCATTTCCAAGAGCATTCCAGCCGCCCCTCGTCGAATGCTCCAGAAGACCCAGATGGCCACCTATGTTACTGCTCTAGGGGTGAGTCACCACATAGTTTGGTGACTCACCGAAATCCGCTCTTGTGACCGGTCCGAGACAAGCTCCGACGAGGCCTATAAAAGCCACTGGTTCCCTGTAAACAAAAACAACAGGGAAGGGAGAAAAAAAAACAGAGAAGAGAGAAGAAGAAAGAAAGAGGAGACCAACAGCCACGGAGCAATCAAACAGAGAGCAGAATACGAAACAAATCAACACCCAATAACCAGAAAGAAGAAAAATGACCATCTTAGAAAGCCTCCAAACCGTCTGGAACCACCGGAATCATTGTAAAACCGAAGGTAAAACCTTCGATTTATTTTAGATCTAGAACGATCTAAAGCGTTTTAGGACAAGCGAAGGCCATATTCGACCTTAGGAGGTCGAGATCTACATTCTAGGGTAATTTGAGAATTCCGGCCACCGTTGGTGGTGGCCGGCAGTGGTGATCGGCGCCGTTGATGGTGGCCGGTCGGTGACTTTTAGAGAGAAGCGAGAGAAATGATATTTCTCTTCTCTAGAGAGAGAAGAGAAATGAGAGAGCTGGCCCGAAGGGCCAGCCGTTTCGGGTAAAAATACCCCTTCCCAAACGATGTCGTTTTGGGAGGGGTATATCTGTAATTTCGTGCATGGCCAAACCCTTTCCGCAGTCATCCTAGTTTGTAATCCTTACATTTTAGTCACTAAAGTAAATTGTAGATCCTTTTAATTTGGTATTCGAATTTTACATATATTCGTTTTAGTCCTTTACATAAAACAATATATATTAGGTAAATGACATATTTAGTCCTTTAATTTTAATAATTAATATTTTAAACCCCGAACATCATTTTTCAATTTATTTTAATTTGACTTTCGAATTTAATATAGTTTTATTTTAGTCTGTAAATTAATAAATGAGTAAAATAACATGTTTAATCCCAGTAATTTTAAATAATTAATTATGAATTAGATATTTAATTCTATTAGGTTATAATTTAGTCACTAATTTCAATTTTTATTTATTTTTTACAAGTTTTATTTATTTTAAATATATAGTTTTAATTTTATTCATTGTTTAGTTATATGTTAATTTTATATATTTACTTTTAATTATTATTACTATTATTATTTAGCCATAAATATATATATTTATATATAAATAATATTTATTTTATTTATTAAAATCTTATTTTACTTTTAACTTATTTTAATCCTGTTTTAATATTTATTTATTTTTCAATATTAAGAAAGGACAATCTTAAAACAACTGGATGTCCATTTTCTGATATTTTTAAATAAATAAATATCCTATTTTATAAATTATATATTAATTGTTTTAATTATTTATTTATTTTTTAATATCGAAGAAAAGAGCTGTCTTAAGGCACCTAGAAGTCATTTTCTGATATTTCTAAATAAATAAATATTTTATTTATAAATATATATAAATTAATATTTTTTTTCATAATTATAATTTTGAAATAATAGGATTATAAATTAAATATATTTTTGAAAATTTAAATTTCTAATAATAGAGATAATTTATAATTAAAAAGTTCCAATTTTAGGCGTTGTAGGGGTGCTAATCCTTCCCTAAACGTAACCGACCACGAATCCCTTTTTATTATTAAAAAGAACGAATTTTTGGTTAAAACGCATACTAGTTTATCTTTTAAATGATGTTTTCTTAAAAACTCTTTTAAAAGATGATTTTTTAGGTATTCGACCTACCTGACCCAAAAGGCCGATGGTGACTCCCAAAATATTTTTTTAAAAATCAAAATCATTAATTTATTCACATCACTTTTCCCGTCAAGTAAAAATTCGTGCCCGGACGAAAACCGGTTACGACAGGTTTGATTCTGATTCTTACTTGAATCTTCATGAACTTGGGATGAAATTGTATGCGGAAGCAATGGAGGAGACAGTGACAAGTGAAGACGCGCAGGAGATTTTTGAAATTGCTGCGGATAAGTTCCAAGAGATGGCAGCTCTGGCTATGTTCAATTGGGGGAATGTTCATATGTCAAGGGCAGGGGAGCATTTCCTTGCAGAAGATGGTTCAAAGGAATCCAAACCAGCAAAGATTACGAGCGGATACGAGTGGGCGCAGAAAGAATATGTATTGGCAGCAAAGAGGTACGAGGAAGCAATGATTATCAAACCAAATTTTTATGAAGCTTTTCTTGCAATGGGGCAACAGCAGTTCGAGCAAGCAAAACTCTGTTGGTACCATGCCGTTGGTAGAAAGCTTGATTTACGAGCCGTGGCTTCCGAGGAGGTCCTGCAACTTTATAACAGGCAGAGGACAGCATGGAGAAGGGTATGCATCTGTGGGAGGAAATGAAGGAGAAACGACTGAAAGGACTCTCCAAATTCGACAAGTATAAGACCCATCTGCAGAAAATGGGTTTAGATGGGCTGTTTCAAGATGTCTCTTCTGAAGAAGCTACTGAGCAAGCATCAAATTTGATTTCACAGATGTACTTTTTCTGGGGAACTTTGCTTTACGAGCGTTCGGTTGTGGAATACAAGCTTCAGCTTCCAACTTGACAAGAATGTTTGGAAGTTTCAGTTGCGAAATTCGACCTTGCTAGAACTTCTCCTACAGATATAGCTGTTATGATAAAGAGCAACTGTTCCAACATGACTACATCGGAAGGTATACACCTACGGAGTCATCTCTAAACTCCTCTTGTTGCACTTGTTTAGTTGTCACTCTAGTTGCTGTCTGGAAACAATTATCCCCTTATTTCATTGCAGGTGTAGGATTCAAAATCGATGAGATTGTACAGGCATGCAATGATAGGTATGATGTGAAAAAGTGGCAGATTGGCGTTCCATCATTCCGGCTGGAACCATAGTTCCGTCACCGCGCTTCAAAGCGCCAGTCTGTGTTGGAGCAAGTTTGAGTTCTCTATTGATTCAGTATTCTTTTGGAGCATTTGATAAGTGCAAGTACTTCATTTTTTTTCAATTCATTTTCCTAGATCGGTTTTCATGTGCTACTAAGATAGGTAAGCTTATCTATCTTCAGCTTGTTGAGATGGCCAACTTCAATTATTACCTTAATCAAATCTGTTAAATTATTTGCAAAATAGGAAGTGTTTACCATCACTCTGATGAGAAATGGTAGGGGTTTTGGCTTCTAATCTATTATCCCCTTGGTTACATACATGGCCATTCATCCTTGATTTTTATTTGGAATTGGAATTGGTTGTGAAGACAATCGTATATAGGTGTCATAATTTGTTGTGAATTGCAGTTTGTTTGCTAAAGCTCACTTGTAAATTTTTCTTATTCATTCGAGTATTAATTTTTCTTTGGAAATCGAATAATTTTTACTGATTCACAGATAATAATATTTAATTTAAATTCAGATAGTAATACTCTGATAATTTATGGATAAAAATAAATTTGGGTTTTTGGTCAGTCTATGCATTCAAATAATTAAAAATTACAAATATTTGACAACTTACTATTCTTATTTGATAATCACATGAGTCTTGATTATATTTAAATTTGAATTGAATCAGACTCCTATTCTTATTTGATAATCACATATGTCTTGATTATATTTATAATTAAATTGAATCACACTCCTAAATAAAGAGTAAAGCCCTCTCAATGTTTTTTTTTTCATCCATAAAATTTTAACTTGATATCTTGTAAAATAAAAATTGACTTTTATCCGTTAATGAATATGTACTAATATTTCCGTGTTATATCAATAATCTTTCAAATTATTTTTTAAAATAAAAATATTTGATTTCTAATTTTTTTATTTATAATAATTTTTAAATTTAATATATCTTTTTTGAATAATAAAAGGAGACAAAAGTCATTGCATATTAGAACTATTCAAACTAACATATGGGAGGCCGAGTAGATCTCTTTGGAGGAGACTATCCAATCAAGGAGGAAAGCAGTAAGAATCAAAATGCACAATAATATGTTCGAATTCTATCGACCAAAGTTTGTCTTAGACAGCAGCGATTGCACGTATAATAGTAGTAGGACTCTTGATAGTAGGAGGAGAAAGAATCTTTATCATATCCGTATTGTCGTTCTAAATAATGATTATGATCCCAAGCAAGATACAAACCTTAAAGATACTCCATAATTCGACATTAAGGACGGAGGATATGTTTAGATTCCTCAAAAGCGACATAATATGATGACCTTCATGAATATATTATTTAGGTTCCAAACATAATGTTCACGAAAAGTAAAATATAATACTCTTTCCGTTTCGTAATTTATGTTTCAACATGATTATGATATAATTTTAGTAGGAGATATATTTAAAGAAAATGATAAATTTATTTCTAAAAAATGATAAATATATTTATTTTTTATAGATATAAAAGAGAGAGACGAAAATAATAATTTAATAGAGTGAGGAAAATTATCCCTGTTTCGTGATCAGTAACTCAGAAAGAGACGAGCCAAGGGAATCACACGGTGTCAATTCTGGCTGTCATCTATAGCTCCAAGACCGACAGTCACTTTATTGATGAACTCAAGCACTTTAATTTGAACCATATTCTGTACAATATTTAATAATATCTCCAAAACCCTAATTTAAACCCCAAAACGTCAAAGACCTAATTCAGCCTTTAATTTTCTCTTCAATTGGGGTCCCTTTCTCTAGATTTCTCGCTCCTCCGCCTACGATATGTCAAAGGTTAAGCTAGCGGAAAGTCTACCCACGAAAGGTGCCATTTTCTGCAGTTCTTTGGGCTTTGTACTGCAAGCTACGGTTGTCGAGGTCGCCATTGTTGCTACAAAGTCTGTCGCATGCTTGCTCATGATGGTAAAATTCTCTTTCCCTTTTCCCCCCTTTTAATTTACCTCAAATTTCGAATTTGCAATTTTTTCCGGGTATATGGTTTGAGGAGTCTATGCTTTATAAGGATTTATTATTTTCCTCAATTTTTTTGGGAAATTGACATTTTTTTCTGTGATAATTTGTTTAATAATCTTTCTCAATGCTATAAATTTTGTTACTTTGCCTAGAAGCTTGTATAGAATATTTTGATTCTCGCATTTTATTAGTATAGCAGTATAATGAGATGTCAAGGAAGAACTTAATTAGGATTTTTATAGGGGAAAACCGTAAACGGTTAAATGTACTATAAGTTTGTGAAAGCGTTGGGTGAGTTTAAGTGAAATTTCAAAAGTACAGTTTATTTGTAAAATTATATTTGTAATTCATGTGGCAATTGGTAAATTCTTGTTTCGATTACACGTTCACAAACTGCACTCGAAAAACTTTGTTTTGCTGCTCAGCATGAGTTGGATGTTTTTCTCCAGATGGGAACTCTGCCTAATGGAATTATTGTCTTCAATCAAGAGCCTGAAGCATATGCAGGGTTAGTTGCATTAATTGTTTTGCCCAACTCTTTCTTGTTTTTCTGTGGAATGGGGAAAAATGGTGAATTTTCTTTTGTAGGTTTCCGCTTGTTCAGATTATTCCAATGACTAAACCTGGTCCTGAGAACAAGGATGCCAGCGACACTGAGGACGACGACGATGAGGATGAAGATGAAGCTGTGGATGAACAAGATGAAGATGCAGGCGAGGAAGATGAATCTGGTGAAGAGGGTGAAGAGGAAGGGGATCCAGAGGATGAACCCGAGGCCAATGGTGATGGTGGCAGTGGAGATGAGGATGAGGAAGATGAAGATGACGACGACGACGACGACGATGAGGGCGAGGAGGAGGAAGAGGAACAGGAGGAAGAAGATGAGGATGAAAAGCTTCAGCCACCAGCTAAAAAGCGGAAATGAGCTCAGATCTTCCCTTGTTTTTTTTTTTATTTAAGAATTTTCCTTACTGAGGTTAGGGGTACGGTGTAGCGGGAAGTTATGATGGGTGCCTGTCTAAATTAGATTAGTTAAGATTATGACATTTCTGCAAATCAAACTTGTTTACTCTTTGCCTGTATGCAATTCCGGTATCATTATATAAGCTCTGCTTCATTCTTCTCAATCGAGGTTCACAAAGGCTGAATTCATCTTGCAAACTGGATGCAAGGAAAGAGAAAGTGAAATAAAGCTCTTTGAGACCTGCTAATCGATCATCTTGCAAAAAAAGCCTGCAAATGCTTATGCAAAGGATATAGATTTACTGGCCAACAGGAAATAACCAAAAACAGAAGCAAAACCTAAAAGTGATTGTTAACCGGATTACAAAGGTACAATATAGTTTTTGCTCCAAAGGCACAGCAAAATATGAAATTCAAATGATTTTTCATTACCAGATAATATGAGTATAAAAGTGACAAATAGCTGCACTACAAGTTTTGATAGCTAGCAAAATCTGTAACCATTTCCCTAAAGGAGAAAGGCATATAACTTCCTCAAACTTGAAAAAACCATGCTCAGTTTGTCTGTAGAAAATGATCACTAAACCAGTTCATTACTAAAGAATTGCGATGATTCTTACATACCTCGAGGATAAACAATGAGACGGCAATCCCAATTTCCAATCTGAAATCTTCTGCTCTTGATGCAAAGACCTGTTATCTTCCTTTTCTTCAGAAGATCATTCAACCTTGTAAAATTCTCAATTCTCCAAGTAAATTTCCCCATATGCCCATCAGACTTCCATTGCACTACTCCCACTCCTTCCAGAAATCAACCCACCATTCTTGGAGAAGCTACTAAACTCCTTGATCACATGAAAGGAAGTGCTAAATACTGCAGTATCATCCACCAAAAACCCTGCCTCCAACCCAACAAAATCTGACATCCTCGTGTAGTCATTCCACCCCAAGCTTGTATTATCCCCACTCTTATTGTCAGCAGCAAATCTCCCATACGAGTCTTTATGCATAGGATTTGACCCTGGTTTCTGATTCAGTACCGACATTCTAAACAAACACCAACAACTCCTATCTGAAGCAACCATTTTCTCGGTATCCTTGCTCTCCAAACACATAGACAAATAACTCCTGCCCATTAACCAAGCTTTGATACACGCTAATCCTAAGATTATACTCCCCTGCAGGGAAAACCGGGCTCATTATCTTCTGTGCCTGAATCATTTCCTTAAACAAGCTAAAGTTACGCACCTTCCAAATGAATTTACCACTCAAAACATCGGAAACGGGACTGGAAACAACTGACGACGATATCATAGAGGACAATGAGGATTGAACATCGTTAGTGTCAGGCGTTAAATTAACGGTTTCATTAAAGATTAAGATATCGGCAGTGATTAAAATGGCGTCGTTTTTAAAAGGTGACCTAATTTGGAATCGAAAACAGTAGGAGTAGTGAAATCGCACTAACCGTGAGATTACTTCTTGCTAGAAAACCGATGCCACGAATCGCGATGAATGGTCTTGGACTCGTCTGTTAGGTTAACGATGGCTAATCGGTAGCTAACGAAGCAGTCCCATTTCGACGACGACGTACTCGTCGGATCCATGATTTGGAGATAAACCGATATGTAACCCGGCAGAGCCTGGGAGTCCCCTTTTGGATACAACAATAAACGGCAATCATAACCGCCTACCTCAAAGTACCTACTCCATACCGCCGATATCGATGTCAAGTGTTTGCTATTGTTATTGTTGTTATCGGATATCGATGCTGAGGTGGCGGGTTGTGATTGGTCTGGTAAGCTCGACGATGAGGAGACTGCCTCAGGCGTGCTCTGCTTCATTGATCCGTTTTACCTTTTTTGCTTAGATATTCACTAGTTCTATACATTTGAAGCTCCGGTTTTAGAGCATTTTCCTTTTTCCCTTCTCTGCTTTATAGAAAGAAAAAGAGAGGCGCGAGCTTTGTATGTGGTGCTTCGGAGGTAAGAGAGGAGTGCACCATATTTTAACCTGCACCTCGATGTACCTTTGACTTTCTCCTTTTCTGTTCTCATGGGTAAAATACATCCAAGTCACTCAGTATATTTGATAATATTTTTTTTCTTTTCTAAGCCACTCATTTAAAATATGGTACAAACATGTCACTAATCACTAAAATTAAAATAAGTATTTAATATAATTTGGTATAATAATAATTTTAATTTTTAAAATATTTATTTATATCAATTTTGTCTTAGTTTAAAATAATTCACTAGATTTAATTTTTATATTTAAAAAAATCATTAATTTTTTTTTATTTTTTGTAACATTATCAAACTAAACGAATTTATCATATTAAAACATCAGTTGAATAATTGTATTTTTACATAAAGTAACAACAAGTTATTGTTAAACTGTTATTATACTGGAAAATTATAAAATTAATATACTATTTCTAGGAGAATAACAAGCAATTTAAGTAATCAAATTATATGAATCAAGCGATCTTAGTGATTAAAGATTTATTGTTATTCTTTGAGGTCTCGAGTTCGAGCCTCACGTATTCAGGAGTGTATGAATGTCCAAGTTTAAATGGTTGAGAGTCTCTGAATATATATTATCTTATATTTTCCCTAGATTAATAAAAATTATGAATGATTAAATTTATCAAATTATTTTAAATTGATATTGAATTGATCGAATATATAAATTTTTAGAATAAAAAATCAATAACTTATTTGTACTAATATTTGATTTTAATGATTAAATTATAATGTTTAGAAAAAAATGAATCATTTGTTAATAAACACATAATTGAGTGCTGTAAGGGTGTATTCTACCCTTTTATTTTTACTACCCTGTACGCTGCGTTTTATTGGATGTTAATGGTTATCCACCGCGGTGCAGCTGAAGATGATTTTCGTAGGTCTACGGGCCCACAGAGAATGTACGTGACGTATGGATGACATTCGTAGGTCAATTGTCCTACCATTAATAAAATAAAAATAAGGGTACCTACGGAGTAGTATTCTGTTGGGCACAGAACAGATCCAACCTTTGCAAGTATATACAAATGGATAATTTAATTCACTAATTACAAGTAAACTATTATCCCAAAATTAGTGAACTAAATTATCCCAACCATTAATCAAATTTAATGTTTAAATAATTATTCTCTCTTACAAAGTATTACTAATACTCCATACATTAACATGAAAAAAAGTCACAAATAGATTATAACATTATTATGTGTCTTATTTAAGGTTTTATAATTTAGGATATAAAGGTTAAGAATTAGAATTTAGAGTCATTTTAATATGTAAAATGACATTCAAATAGATGTGTGTGTAAAGATTATTATCTCATATGGTAGGAAAAAAATATTTCACAAACACAATTTTAATATATACATATCATGTAAATGTAGCCTATTCAAAGTTTTGAACATTAATCTTTTTAAAAGATTAATATTTTTTTATCACTGAGCCTGGGACAGAACCATAATTAAATATTGACATGAGCTGAAATATTGACATGAGCTGAAATATTGGACTATTTAAGAAAAATATAAAGACTTATTAGTTATTTAAACCCAAAATTCAGTACGAACCAAATGACCTTAGTGATTAAGGGAATGTTGTTATCCTTGAGGTTCCGAGTTCAAGTACTGCGTATATAGGGTATGAGCGTTCATTGTCAAATAGTTGAGAGTCTTTGTACATGTAATACCTTATATTCACCCTATATTTATAAAAAAAAATCACAAGATAACATCTAATTTATCTAATATTTAAACTTACAGTGACCTAAATTGTTATTAGACCCAAAAATTTGAGAAAACGAGGCTATCCTTCTTTAGTTCGGCTTTTATTTGATTAAATATTTAATAAAATTTTATATTTTTTAAATTTAATGGGTTCAAAGGTCCTTCATCCATTTGGTATTTAGTAGGCCCTTCCAATTTTCGTATAACAACCAATCTCCTAATGTTTTTTTATATATATATACAAATTCAATAATCACTAAAGTCCCTTAATTCATGTCAATTTTTTAATATACATGTTTTCACCGTTGATATTGCCTTGCCTCATAGGGATAGACCTAGATGAGGGTGGATGGGAGCGATCATTCCCCTAAAGTTTTCAAATTTATATATATTTTAGATATTTTTTTGTATTTCTATTGAAAATATGTTTTTACCCCCTCCTAAAAATTTATAAGTTTGTCTTCCCTCCAAATTTTATAAATTCACCCTCTAATATAAAATCATACGTTCCTTCCTGCATTTATACATACGTTTTAATGCTTGTAATTGGGGGTTTTTATATTACTAGTCTATAATCTCTAGTTTAAGGATACATATAAGTTGGATCGAGTTTTTTGTTCACTTAGATTTTATCTAAGTAATTTACTCATTCATCTGTCATCTAACTTGGCTCTAGTTTAATAAGATTCATTTTAATTCGAAACTCATTCTACCATAAGTAAAAAAATCATACTTGATTCGATCCAACACAAACATATATAGAAATTTCTTATTTTTATTAAATAAAATAAATTTAATTAAAATATATAGAAATTTATTATTATATTTTTAAAATATATAAAGAATAATTATATTATTATTTCAAATCATTTTAAAAAACTATTTTTTCTTTTAAGAAAAATAACCTTATAAGATATTATATCAGCACCATGTATTTTTTTAACAAAAATAAAATACTGTATGAAAACTGAAAGCGGTATTTTTTGGGAGATTTTCGGACATAATCATTTCATTTTGACTTGTAAGATATATGCTAGTGAGCTGGAATGGAATGGAATGGCTTCGAGTTAAAGACATTAAAGAAAACCTCCAAATTTTAAATTCCGATTATTTTATTATTTTTGAACTGCTTGGATCTTCCAATCTTCACTGTATTATCTCAAATTCTTTTCATCTTCTTCACTAATTCTGTCATAAATCTTCATTCTCAGGTTCATAGTGATGGAGTTTTGATTTATCGCACGCTTCACGAGGTAAGAAAGAAAATTACTAGAACTCTTTTTTGAAAGGAAAATCTTGTTAGCTTGGTTCCTCAGAAAGACCGAGGGAAATATTTCATTTGTTTTCTTTCAAAGAGTAGATCATCAATGTGAAGCGAAATGTGTTAGTTGTTTGGTGGCGCAGAAGATCTCTGTA